AAGATTGTAGCAACAATTACATATATAAGTGAATATATAAAAAACGAAAATATTGCAAAGCATTGCATCAGCTGCGGACAGTCTGGTCACTACTAGGGTAAAGGTTTTACCAACTGGGGGTAACACGATAACGAGCCACAGAGGAAGATTTTAAAATAACCCCTCTCAGCAGGCAGAGGAATATCATGCAGGTCCCTGGAAATGGGCGGCTTAAAGAACAACCCTGTCTGCTGAGGCTCGGGGCGCCAACCGTCTGCAGCACCTCCACAGAACCAGCCACAGACAGCTGGGCTGCAGGAAAATGCTAGAGCTGCACTGCATGTGTACAGGGATTAGAGACAAACAAGAAGGATCCTCCAAATACCAGTATTGCACATGTAAAATCGCATGTGTTATTTTAGGTACACGAGGATACCCAGAGGTTTAAAGTTCTTGCTCTGAGATAAATGCAGGACGAACCTTGCTTATATCCACATTTTTGTCTTTTTCAAATTAATATGCTTTTTATGAACACCCTACAATACCAGCCACAGGCGACTGCACCCTGTCTCTATGTGTGTGCCTCCATCGCATGCCATGGGGCAGCTTTATGTTCCAGCTCTGTGTGCTGTGCATGAAGATCCAGACAGCTGAGAATTAGCTAATCTACCTGAGGTCACCCTGTCCTGGCTGACCTCTTTCATTTACAAACAGATAGTGATCTACTAAATGGAAAACATGCAAATAGCTCATATTTAAATTAGTAGATGGATTCATAACATCTGAAAATGAATCCTATAAGATCAACTCATTTTTTAAGGAAACACCATAATTGGATGAATTAATTCATTGCTACTTCTGGATTGTTTAAGTCGGAGAATGAAGCAAATAAAAGATGTTCTGGGCTTTAATTACATTAAAGACTGCTTTTCCCACTGTAGCATCTTTCCTTAGTGTCACCATTGAGTCCATCTATTATATATCATGTAATGTGTTACTCCAGTCAAGCTTTAAAAAGGGAGGCACCTGTGACGTGTCCTGTTCAGTTACCCAAACTACCTCAGCTTTTGTTCCAGACCACATTTATTTCTGATATGATAAACAAAATTTGCAGTTTCTTTAAAATTGTTCAATAAGAGATTTCAGACTTCACCTGATATAATCAGTGAGCTAACATTGACGGGTGAAAAAAGGATTTGGTGGAAACAACATTAAAGAAATGACCCATACCACTTTGTATCAGTGGTTAAGACCTGTTAAATGTTGTTTATAATGTTTATCCTTTTCTGAACACAGTCTGCTGCCTACTTTAAGCAGGATACACCCATGCCACAAAGTTTAAATAGCCTCTAAATGGTCTTGCATGCATGTATTCTAGCGCCTCCACAGGCATCAGATCTTGCACATAGGATGTGGTTGGAAAATCTGCATATATGATTCCATTATGTCAGTTTGCCTCATGTATCCATAACACTGTTGAAACTATTATAGCAATGGCATTTCTTCAGGGCAAACAAATGTGTTGTTCATGAACAACACAAAGTCCAGGTTTTTGTCTTCCTTTATCGTATTAGGGGTGAAACAATTAATCAGATTAATAATTATTAATCAATTATTGAAATAATCGTAAACTAATTTAGTGATTGAATAATTGTTAAATGGAGAATAGAGACTATAAAACGTGCCTATAGCTGACAGAGCAATCAATTTAGAGCAGCAATGTGCCAAAATTGTAAAAAAAAAAAAAAACGTGTATGTCAATATGCTCTATTCAGACTTCTCAAGTCAAAAAGTTTAATTTTCATTTGGTTTACTTTTGCAGAAATTCATTTTTGTGGAACTCAAAAAAAAAAAAAAGAAAAGAAAATTAAAAACAATCCACTGGACTTTGTTTCCAAGTTTGAAGACGTTTCAATTCAAAATGTGTATTTGAACATTTTGAATTGAAAAAGCTTCCTGGATGGGAAGCAAAATGTCTTCAAACTTGGAAACAAAGTCCAGTGGATTATTTTTAACTTTCTTTTTTTGTAATGGCTATGACCTGGATGACTGAGAACCTTCACCAACATATGCTCTTTAAGGAACCTTTTGCTATCCCATCATTAATCGATTAAACAAAAAATAATCAACAGATTAATCGATTAGAAAAATAATCTTCAGTTAAAGCTCTAAATCAAACAATAAAAAAATAAAGCGAACAAACAATCTCCTTTAAGATTAAATGATAAATCTAATGGTATTTATTGGGTTTAAAGGGATCCATGACTCTTTGCACATCCTGGCCTAAATGTGTTGTAATTTTCCTATTAATTTATAATTTGATGTTAGTGATACATAAAACTCTAAATGACTCCAAAAATGATATATCCTCTGTTATATTTATGTTGTATTTATTTTGATTGGTGTAAATTTAAATGATGTCACAATGTATCGTTGCCTCAAAGTTTTCATGAGCTGCTATACATGAGATATCTCCCCTGCATAATTATAATAAAGCTATTTATATGCATAAATCTAGCAGAACGCTATGGTGATAGCTGTACTGCTCCACTTGTGAAAGCTAAATCTGTTGGGCTCTTTTTGGCATCAAGACAATTATTCTTATTGCCACATCGCCAGACAGATAAGATATCTGATGAAACAAACAAGTGTGATCAGCTTGTAATCTACTGTTTACAAGTGTTTAATCAAAATCATATGGGAAGAAAACGATCCACTGTTTAAAGTGACGGTGAGGCATATTGAAGTGTATAAGACATCGTTCTAATAAAGCTATCTGAGAAAATGTTTCAATCCCAACGCTAACTGTAAACCTCAGAAACTGGAGCTCTTTGTAGCATAAGCTTCTATATCATTGCTGTTTTGGCTGGACGGAGCTAGTAGTATACACAGGACTCATATGTCATTCAAGCAGAATGCATAGCAGCATAAACAACATAGCAATATACGGGTGATAATATTTTATTTAAATGTATCAAACTTAAACAGCGTGCACATTATTATTATGTACTGTATTTAGGTATAAAAAAAAAGGAATATTTCCTAAATAACGTCTGTTGTTAAAGCTAATCATGGATCCCTTAATTCTATCTTTTTTACACAGATGTATTTTTAAATGTCTTCCAGAATCCATTATATTTTAAAACGTGTACAAGAAAACAAAATTAAACACCTGCCAAATCCAAACCACAATTAGGTGATCACGTTTTGGAGAGGCAGATGATTTTTTTATTTCTTATCTAATTTTATAAATTTCATAACTAAATCAACATCTCGGTTGGATAATGCCACCCTATGCTCGAAGCTGTTGCTGAACTGGAGAGCTCCCTCAGGGACAGACTGCTGCACCCTAAACGCACCATGGAGCGTCATCACAGATCCTTCCTCCCAGCAGCTGGAAGACTTTATAACCACCACTGTACCACCGCTGCTATTTTCAAATATCCATTGCTGTAAAAATGTCCATAGCTGTATATTGGTTATTTATTCTTAAGGTGCACAGTATTTATATTGTTAAAACACTTTACAGTACAGTATTTTATTGTTTATCTTTTAACTCTACACTATTATTTTATTCTTAAACATTTTTTCTAAGGTCCATATTTGTGTGACCATTTTTTCTACATTCTTTTAGCTGCTGTAAACACCAGAATTTACCCACTATAAATAGAAAATCACGGACAATAAAGTTATTCTCTATTCCATTCTTTTCTATGATACAATAATATGGGAAATCACGGAAGAGTCATATTATTGGAGGAGAGCGGGAAGGAGGGGTAAAATACAGTAGTTTCCTGGCCAAATTGGGAGACTTGAAAGCTATAGACTGTGTCAAACAATGGCGTAACTATCTGTAAGAGGAGACTGCAGTTGCTTAGTGGCCCCCGACCTCTTAGGGGCCCCGTCACTGACACCTGGGTGGCCCCCATTGCTATTGTTGACTAGGACTTCTCTTTACAGATGTAATGGTGCAAAATATTTCTCATAAACCCACCTGTTACTAGAATGAATAACCGGACCTTATTTATAACCGAACACATGCCAGATTTCAACATGACAGTGAGCCGTTCAAACAATACATCAATAGCAAAGCAGACAGTGGTACTTTTAATTACTATTAATAACTGTGTATATTTCATTAGGCGGTTGGTAAAAAAATAAACTCATATGTTTCAAACCACAATAAAGAACGATGTATTTGAGTATTTTTATTTTTTTTTTACAATACAACTTGGAATTATGGGTAATCCAGAGCGTAGATTAAAACCATAACCGTTACGTACAATGCGTTAGCAACGATGGATACCAAAAACAGGTACTTAAGTGGATTCCAGAAAAGAAAAAGCATGAGGTGTTGTACTTCATATGGGGCCCACCCAGATGATGTTGCTTACGGGCCTATTGTTGTGTCGTTAAAAAAATAAAAATAAATAAATATTAAACACATTAATATTTTGCCAGCAAATTATAATAAAGTCAAAAAATATTTCAGGCAAAATACTTTTATACATAAAAAGTAATGTCATGTTGGGATGCTTTATTGACTGGATCGGGTTCTTTGAGTGGGTCGTAACCCCCCTAGCCCCCCTTTAATTTACACCACTGCATTATTGAGTCTGATATGAAGGAATTGCTTTCAAGCGACTATTTGTACCCAACAGTGGTTAATGTCGTTTTAGTAATTGAACATTAAACTTACAAGCTAATGTTTTGCTTTTTTTCATTTTGCTAAATGATGTTGCTGATAAATGTCTTTTATAATTGTTCCTTTCTAATGAGTAATGAGAGAAATGTTCCTGCGCGGACAGATAATTAGGTGAGTAATTAAAAATGACAGAGCCTGGATCTGTGTGAGATGAGTGGCTGTTTCCACATGTCCACTGTGTTGTGTACCATGCGGCTTTCACGTCCGCATCAGCTTCCGATCACGCACCAAGAGCCCCTCCTATTGGTCAGCTGCCCAGCACACCTATGCGTTCTATTGGACGCCGTGATAAGCCACGCCCCGAATCTGCAGCCCAGCCACCCACGGGTTCGAGACGATGAATGAGAAACAGTTTAAGGTTGAAAAGTGGGAAGCATCTCAATTCTGCCTACATCTAAACACGACAGAGCTGAGCTAAAGCTGAAACCTGCCTCCCTGAAAAAAAGAATAAATAAAAATAATCCACCAACATAGCTGTAAGTACTATTTTGCTCAAAAATTTTTTTTATTCATATAAATCATATAAAAAAAAAAAAATCAAATTTTTTTTTATTTTTATTTATGGATAAAACGGCTGTGGTTAATGTTATGAAGCTTCCTGCCCATGTTGTTACCCTGACAGTTAGGTGGGAAGGATGGGAGGCTGTAGAGGTCTCTGCCAGAACCATTCCAGTTGTTTTGTAACTGGGTGAAAGGGGACTGAGTGAAGAACACCAGTTGATCATGCTGGTTTCACGTGCTGCTCCCCCGGTAGACTGATAATAGCTGGATCAATAAGCCTATACAACCTGCACAGAATGGATGTCATCCAGGCTCTGTGTTCAAATTGATCAAAGCTGTCCTGTCTGTCACACCTGCAGCATGGAGGTTAAAATGGACCACACAGAGATGTCAAACATCCAGCCTGAGTTCCAGCCTGCTGCAATGGGAGCAAGTGACCTGAGGGCTGTGGGAGCTCTGATCTCCATGACTGAACACTGGAAGACCAGCAACTTAAAGCCAAAGCACCCCAGACCTCCCACCCCCTCCTCAGAAAGCTCAGAGGATGATTATCTGTCCTCCAGTCCTCCTGTTCTGCATGAGTCTTCATTTGTAAGTAAAAGCGAGCCTCTGGACAGTAAATTGCTTCTTCTTTTTTTCCAGTTCAGCATAAGTTACTTTAATTTGGTAGACCAACAGAAAGCAACCATGTCAGGGATAAGGTTAAAGTAAGGTTAGCATGTAAAATGATATTCAAAGCCCAGAGCGCTTTATGGAGATCTGTTTAATCCAAGGGGATTATGTCAATTCAAAAATACTTTATTATATTGTATAAGGTTTGTTTGTTCCTATAGGGGAATCAGATAATTCAGAATTAGAGGGACGTAGTGAAATGTTGAAAAAGATGGTCCAGGTAAATTAATTAAATTAGAAATTAACATTGCATACACCATCCACACAGGGTAGTGGCAGCATTATGCTGTGGGAATGCTGTTCTTCAGGAGGGACCTCAAAGTGGGTTGGAGTTGATGGGAAGATGGGAGCTATGCACTGTAGATAATTTCACTAAAGAGATAAAGGGTTACATTCCAAAATACCTGCTGCTGTATGGAGTGAATTTTGTTCCATTATTGTTGGGAGCATAGTATGTTTTTAAAAATAACCACACAAAATAATGTTCTAATATGATTTGTAAATGGAAATTTGAAGGGGAAAAAAATCAACCCAGAACTTAATTTTAAGACTTTTCAATCCAAAAATGTTCTTTGAGTGACTTATTTTCTTTTTCCTTTTGATTTTTTTTTCAAATGCTCTTTTTCTGAAATTATTCTTTTTTAGATCAATTGTTTAAAATTTTGTTTTTCAGATGAGGAATTTCATATTTTTCAAATATTTTTCATTTCTTCTGCGAGATTTTTCCTGGCGTGAGGAGCACAGATTTCTGTCTGAACTATATGGACGTTAGCAATAACATTATTGGCTAGAGTGAGCATTTGTGCATTTCACCTATTCTTCAAGTGAAAAGAATAAGATCAATAATTCACAATTTGAAAATTTCCATGTGAAAAAGAGAGAAAAAAATTGCAAACATAAAATCCACACAAAAATTTGTAAAAATCTGAAAAAACTACAAAGTTTCATTTGAAACCATTGTTGTTGTTTTTTTAATAAGAACCTTTTTTAATGTTTTATTTCTGGATACATTTGTATTTACAAAATGTGTTCTTTGCAACATTAATGGAACAAAATTCACTCCATACCGCTGCAAATATACTTTCTTTTTAGTAATATCGCCCTTTCTATTGGTGAAACTCTCCATTAATATAAAAAAATCTGTTTATGGTTTTAATGTAACCAAATAAGGGAAGAGTTTGAAGAGTGTGAATAATTTATCAGTGCACTGCAGTAGAAGTGAAACCTTTAACTCTCCTTTTGTAGTGCATGACGCCACCATATAGCCCACCTCCCTGTGAGGCCACCCCTTCAGGCCCGGTGCTGAAACCGCTCCATTCTGCAGAGGACGCAGCTGTTTCCCAGAAGTACCAGTGCACCAGCGTGATCCGCCACACCGCGGATATCAGGGACTGCTCCTGTAACCCTCACCGACTCCAGCAGGAAGACGGGGCCTCAGAGGATTCTAGAACAAACATCGACTGCTCGAGCAGAGACTCTGATAAGAATTCAGCCCAAGAGAAAACCTCCAAAGATGCATCACACCATTCTGAACCCAGCCAGATCCGGACGGGTCGGTTCAAACCAGATGATGGATCAAATACTTCACTTCCAGCTGGAATCACTCTAGTGTCTCCTGTTCCCTTCTTCAGCCGGATTGTTCCTGTCTCCTCTGCATCCACTGCCACCCTGCAGAGCCATAACAGTTCTTCGCCTGCTGCTCCACCGATCAGACATGCCTCACAGGGACAGACCCTGCAGCAGTACTCACTGCCTACCCCCCGGGTTCTGTTTGTAGAAGGTCAGGTGGTCAAAGGCCCCGTGGTGCTGCTTGTCCCCCAACCATCTGTTCCTGCCGTTTACCTTAAGCAAGCGCAGACGACCCCTGCTGGTCCGAGGTTTCTTCCCATCGCCCCGGCCCCTGGGCATGCCGCCTCAGAGCCGAGGCGCGCCCCCATGCAACCAGAGGCCTCACGGGTGCGCAGTCATGTTTGTCCTCGTGAGGACTGTGGCAAGACCTACTTCAAGAGCTCCCATCTTAAGGCCCACATGAGGACACACACAGGTAAGAGACAAAAGTGTATAAATCCACCTTTTTTAGGGCGTTTGATCACAGTCCTCTAAACAGAGAGTAAAATCTACATCATCTTTGTCCCCACAGGTGAGAAACCTTTCAAATGTAAGTGGGACGGATGCGAGAGGCGATTCGCTCGCTCTGATGAGCTCTCTCGCCATCGCCGAACCCACACCGGTGAGAAGAGGTTCACCTGCCCCATGTGCCTCAGCCGCTTCATGCGCAGCGACCACCTGGCTAAGCACGCCCGGCGACACCTGGTGCCCAGGAAGAAACCCCTCTGGGCATTAGGGGTCCCCCCCACTGCAGAGCTCCTCCCTCTCCTAAAGACTCACTGAAAATCCAAAGACTGGAAGTAATCCATAAAACTGATAGGTTTGAATTTGTACAGGTATTTATTTTGTAAGCTGAAGGTACGGGAAGATGCTGCGTGTACAGAAGATGGGATAAACTCTGATCCACCTCGAAATGAGCTAATCTACCTGCAGCTGTTTTTTTTTTTTTTCTTTTTTACTTTTTTTATTTGACCAAAGAATATTTTTTGTCTATTTCTGCCTCATAAAGATGTTATTTTAAATCATGTTTGTTTTTCATTAATTGTTTGGCTATTAACACAGTATTAGAAACTGAACACTATTTAGTTTAGAGATATGCATCTTTTATATTTATACAAAAAAAGGCATTTCTGCCCTCAGTTAACTCAATCAAAACATCCTTAATGAACTATTGATAAAAAAGGATTAAATAGCAAAATCAGTCTTTTTTTTAAAAAAAAGAAAGAAAAAAAAATACATTTTGTATAAATTTTAGGGATGCAGATATTAAACTCTTTGCCGATATCGATACCTGATGTTTAATATTATTGGTATGACCAGTATCGTATTTCCTTAATACAAAGGAGTAATAGGGACAGGATAGAGATTTTTTTTCAGGAATAAAGTGTTAATATTATAAGACCAAATTCATAAAATTAGGAGAACAAAGTCCTAACATCCACCCATTTTCCATCACGCTTTATCCCAGCTGGGATCGCGAGGGGTGCTGGTGCCTATCTCCAGCTGCCTACGTGCGAGAGGCGAAGTTCACGCTGGACGTTCGCCAGTCCATCGCAGGGCAACACAGAGACACACACCTAAGGAGAATTTAGAGAAGCCAATTAACCTAACAGTCATATATTTGGACTGTGGGCAGCGGCGGTTCTAGATGAAGTTTATCAGAAGGGCCAGGGTGGGGCCTTATTTTTTAATGGGGACACAGAACAAAAATGATTATGAAAACCTGGTTGTATCTTAATACGGCTGAGGTTTTAAGGTGACTGCATTTTTTAAAAGTAAATCGTAAAGGTGAATGATTAAATTAAATTGGTCCAAGTCAGTTATCATCAATTACATGCTGCAAAAATTCTCCATCTAATCAGGGACTACGTTTTTAGATTGATACACCAAACAAGAGAAGATTGCATTTGAGAGGATTCTACTTAAAATAAGTGCAATAAACTGCAAATGCAGTGAGGCAATTGCACTTTGCAAGACTTCTTGACATCATGATATTCTAATAACAAAAAGTATATAAATCTCAAAACAAGATGTAAGATTTGAGTGCAGTCCATTCGGTCAATGGATATAATCATGACTTATTTTGTATGACAGCAAAAAATCATTTAAAATGCAAAAACTTCTTAAAATGAGGGGGTTAATAAGATGATTTCCAAAGAAATTTGTATTTTTCCCCTCAAAATAAGATAATTACATATAAACTACTTGAAATAAGATGGATTTTTTTATTTATTTAAATAATCTTATTACATTTGCAAGTTGTCTTACCTACCTGCTCAAATTGAGGCAAAATATTCCCCTTTTCAAGAAATTTGACTTAAATGTCAAATTTTTTTGTAGTGTATGTTTTAAGCACCCCCTGCCTAGAACGCCTATGGCTGTGGGAAGAAGCTAGGGTAACCAGAGAGAACCCACGCATTCTCAGGGAGAACATACAAACTCCATGCAGAAAGACCACAGGCCGGGAATTGAACCCCAAACCTTCTTGCTGCAAGGCAGCAGTGCGACCAACTGCACCACTGAGCAGCCCACATCATAACATTTCGAGAATAAAGTTTTAAAAGTAAAGTTTTTGTAAAGTTGTATTTTATGACAACTCTTAAATGAAGCACTTCCTTCCCTAAAATGAAGAATGTCGAACATCATGTAAAGTCAGTTGGCTCTGGTTTGACAAACCAGGAAATCTTTTAGCACCAGCATCCAATTGGGTAGAATGTCAAAGTAGACCCAGGTTCCCGTTTGGTTGAGCTGGTCGGCCGTCATCTGCTGGTTGGAATCAAAGATTTAATACGACTTCATTCTCAAAATTAGAAAAAATTAAAAATATCTGGCCTGGCCCTAATACTCCGTCGTACCTTATCCTTTGGTCACCATGGAAAAGAAAAAAAGTCTAAAACTGCATCTTAATCACATAACCGACCTCCTCCTCTCCTGAAACAAAACAAAAAAAATTACATGGAAAGAAACATCAGTTGTTCAGTTTTACTTATTAGACTGATATCGATGCATCTAAACATGACCAACAATGGCCGAACCGATAATGCTAATATATCATGTATCCCTATTTAGTTTTAAAGAGGCAGAAAGCTTACAACCTAAAATTAAAAATGACTTAACTTTAAGAAGTTGTTTACTTACAAGAACGTCCCAAACAACTTTATTTCCAATACGATACCGATATATCGGCACGAATCAGGATTACTTTTATCACTTATTTTGTAGATGAGGGGTAACCGATTAAAAATCAGCGTGGTCTGAATAAAGAAAATCAACCAGTAAACGTCCGGAGACATTTTTTATTATAATCTGTTACTTTAAATCCGCGGTTCTCAAAGTGTGTGGCGCGACCCACTGGTGGGGAATTGAGACGTGACAGGTGGGGCGCGCCAAGTTCCGGTGTGTGTGTGTGTGTGTGTGTGTGTGACTATAAATGTAGAACGTGTGAGAGCAAACTGTCCTTATAGCTGTATGTTGCCGCTTTTTAGACCAATCAAACCCACAAAGTAATCATTACTAGCCTACATGCAGTCTAATTAAAAGAACATTAGATATGAGAAAAATTTCACCTGGAACTGAAGTGCCAAAATAATTATTGACGTGACGTCGGCATATTATTTGTAACGGAATAAACTTTCGCGCCCCAGTGTTGCCAACTCAGCGACTTTGTCGCTATATTTCAGACCCCTCCAGCGACTCTTTTTCAAAAAAGCGACTAGCGACAAATCTAGCGACTTTTGGAGACTCTTACGTGAAAGCACGTATCGTTCCTTTTCTTGTCCTCCAGCGGCAGGTGCTGCCGTGGGGCGCCTCCTCCGTCCCAACCCCGTTCTCCCCCGCTATCGCAGGAGTCCCTCTCAGCGCTGCAGTCAGAGCAGAGACACAGCATGTTTAACTTTAGCGTCCAGACTGCAAATAAAGCGCACATGCGCCGGGATTGACGGCGCAGGTTGATCATAAATAACTGAATTTGAAATATTTTATTAGTTTATTATGCAATGAAAAATAAAGTAAGTCTATTTTTTCCTATTCTGTCTGCAGCACCTGCTGATTTTAGGTCTGCTGAGGAGGACCAGTTTATTGAAATGACGTCTGACTCCACCCTGAAGCTCAGGTTTAATGCTCAGACTAATAGTGAATTCTGGTTAGGAGTGGAGAGGGAGCATCCACTCATCGGGCAGAGAGCTGTGTGCATTCTTCTTCCCTTTGCCACATCATATCTCTGTGAGATGGGCTTTTCAGCTGCTGCTTCAATGAAAACAAAATACAGATCTCAGCTGAACATTGAGCATGACTTGAGAGTGGCAGTATCAAGCCTGCAACCCCGTTTTGAGAAACTGTGCAATGCAAAACAGGCTCATTGCAGCCACTAATGCAGGGATAAATAGACCTGTCTTGCCAGATGGATTTCACTTCTTTTCTTTTATTAACAGATTGCAGAGTGGCACTTTAATTTTTTCTATCTTTGAGCTTGATACAAATTTTGACACAGCTGCATTTTTATTTTCTTTATTTTTTAGCTTGCTGTTATTTGATGTAGATAGTTTGTATTTAGATACTACTTGTTACTTCAGTAAAATTGGAACATTTTAAGATTGTTGCATATTTCATTAGCATTGTGTTGGGGCGATGGGGACAGGCGGGGCTTGAAAATTCCCCCTTGTCCAAAGTGGGGAATGACAGAAAAAGTTTGAGAACCACTGCTTTAAATGGAATTTAACACTGAAATAAAATGAGTTTTTTATGCATCCATGTTATACATTTAATTTTTAAATAAAAAAGTATTTAAAAAAAATAGAACATTTTTCCATTTTGAAATCTAAAGTGTTTTTTGAAGTGGAGAACAATCATTCATTTTGGTATAAAGACAATTTCCTAATTCACATATTCTATAAAACACCTGAACTGAACGTTTTTTCGTTCTTTTTTCTGGCTTAATGTTGGCAGTGGGCTTTAGGCTGCCCTGCAAGGCTTTAAACCTGGGTTTGAATGGAGACTAAGCCGTTCTAAAGCACATATCAAGGTGCTCATTTTGAGCCTGGATCCATATTTATTTTTGATTCTGTTCATGGTGGAGAATCCTGCTTCACAGAAGCAGGTTGAGCCAAACATACTCTAAATGTGCAGGGTCATCTTTGAGCACCATTTCACTTTTCTGTCACCAGTTCACCACAGTTCTTCCAGCAGTCCACACTTTATCTGCTCTCTTTTTCTCATCGTCTTCTCCTTCTTTCCCATCGCCCGGCTTGCCACAGGTTTGCCTGCTGTGTCTAAAAGTAGCAGCAGCAGCAACCCAGACTGACAGCAGCTCATTGGCTAATTTGTGTCACATGTAGCCTGGTGATGCACGCTCTGGAGGGCTTTACCGTATTAACAGGAGAAGTGCCGCAAATGAAGTTAGACAAATGTAGTAATTTATAAATGTTTTAAATCAGGTTGGATCCAGATTAGCCAGCAGGTGGGTCCGGATCCGGACCCTGGTCCGCTAATCCGTCACCTCTGTGTAGAGAATTACTCAGAGAATAGACAAAAATTGGAAAGAACTGAAGCATTGATACTAACCAGGGGGTTACATACCTTTTAGACTAAAGCATTCTTGTTTGTCAGCATATGCCTATATTGGAGATTTTAGTTGAAGACTGATATAATCCGATTTTTGGCTGATATCTGATGAATATATGTGATCAGGACATCTCTATTTATCCATACTCTATTCTTTCAGACTGGTTTAAAAATATTCAAATCAAATCCCCATTAATCTGTAATATTAACATTCCTATCATAAATATGAAATGTTTTTAAGCTCATTACACCAACATCAGATCTTTAAAAATAAAAGCTACACACGTT